AATGTGCAGAAATAAGGAATAGTTGTATTAACCATACATGTATTAATCATCCAGCAGAGGAGCTTCTGTGGAAATAAATGACGCCTTTAAGGATTTGATTCTGCTGCAGAAAGCTGAACATGGACAGCTGGTGTCATTTCCCTGACCTGCTGAAATACAGCGCTGTAATTCCTCTCTTTAGAGCCGTTTGTTTTTCATCACTCTGTGAGGAATCTGCAGCGCCGCCCGCTCATCTGCCCGTCAACATTTCTGCGTGTCAGGTGCTCCGATCCGTCTTCGGATCTGTCGGCAGCTCGGCCCAGAAGGCTCCTTCTACATCTCAATTAGGGGCTGGAGGTAGCAGATGGTTTCTCTCTCTCTCTGGATCCACAGTGGGTCTGGATCCACGGTGGGTCTGGATCCACGGTGGATCTGGATCCAGACTTCTATCATCAGAAGAAACGACTCCACCTGTTTTCAACCTGTTTCAATGTGAATCTGATTTAGTTTCTGAAACAGTTCTATCCCTCAGATAATTGGCTGTAGAAGACAGAACCCGGCATTGTGGGATGATCTCTACTGGATCTGGGCTCAGTTTATGCTGAACAGGTCCAGACCGGTTCCTCCTGAGCCCCTAAAGGGACACTGATGTTACCTCCACCAGGCTGGTTTGGTGGAGTAACACTAAGGGAGAGCATGCAAGGATCTTCTGATTAAATGAATACCTGAAATAAGATTAATGCAAAAACCAGAACATCAGTTAGGAAACAAACCAAACAGGGTCCTGAGGAGGGAGAGGAAAAAAGTCCTCCTTTCTGTTGCAGGAAAAGCAGCTTTAAAGCTGCAGAGCATCAATCAGGGCTGAACCCCTGCAGAGGCTCCGTCTCCCAAACCCTACAAGGAAAAAAGGAAAAGAACAACTTTGCAGTAACATCTAGTTTCATGTGCCAGATACTTTCTCATCTGCACCAGTAACTTTCTTGTTCCCACCAGATACTTTCTTACATGAGTATTTTGGACAAACATGTTCAGTAAAATAATGTAGATGAACTAATTAGGTTATATTTTCAGTTTGGGCTCCTAAAGCATCGCTGTATTGCTTATAAGTGTCTGATCGTCACTTTAAACGTTTCCTGGAATCCTTTGGTCTATTTCAGAGCAAAGCCGGATTATGTTGTGATATTAATTCAAACAGAAATGCAAACGACTAAACGGATATAGATGGGTGTTTACAAAATGTCTGCAAAATGGATTAAAGGTAAAAAATAAAATAAAAAAAAAGAGGAGGTCCGTCTGATATGATAAAATATCTGGTGTACAAGAAGGTTTTATGTGTTTTAAAATGTCCCTTTAGGAGCTCCGTAGGTAGAAATGTCATAAATTAATTGTATTTAGCCTTGATTTTAGCAGGTAAATATACGGAAGAGGATTAGGGCCACTGAAAAAAAAAAGTTAACTGATTTTTTTTTATTTTATTTCAGTATAGTATGGGAAAAAAGTCAGAATTCTGAGAAAAAAAAGTCAGAATTCTGACTTTTTTTCCCATACTATACTGAAATAAAATAAAAAAAATCTGTTAACTTTTTTTTTTTCAGTGGCCCTAATCCTCTTCCGTATAATTAAGATGATTTGCTAATGGAATGAGGATTTTCACTTTTAAAATAAGATAATTAGATATTCTGCACTTCAAATAAGACAAAAATGTAAATTGTTTTTTTCTGTTGGCAAAGTGTCTCATTTCCCTCAATTCAACAAAAAAAAAGTTACCTATTTAGATGTTAATTCTTTGTAGCTTGGAAAAGCTTAAATCTGCTGCATTATTTTTGGACGCCTCTCCTCAGTTACAAGGAGAGGATCTAAAGAGATGTAGATATATATAAAATAGAAGTTGAACAGCTGAACACTGAGGAAAGGTCCTGAAAGTTAGAAAGGAAAAGGAAGAAATTAAAAAGGAATTATAAGTAAAATAGATTTAAAAAGTAACAAAATAAGAATGAAGTTAAAAGGAACAAATAAAAACTATAAAACACCCCCCCCCCCCACAGGCTTGTACAGTAGGCAGTAGGCATGGTGGGTGCATCACTTCACCTGCCTCTGATTGGCCCATCACTCTGGAACAGGGTCAATCTGGACTCATCAGACCACATGACCTTCTTCCATCGTTCCACAGTCCAATCTTTACGCTCTCTGCAAACTGAAGCCTTTTTTTCACTGATTAGTGGTTTTCTTACGGCTGTTCAGTCTCAATCCCTTGAGTTCCCTTCGCATTGTGCGCGTGGAAATGCTCCTACTTTCAGTCTTAAACAGGCCTGAGTTCTACTGCTGTTTTTCTTCCATCTGATCTCACCACACGTTTAAGTGATCGCCGATCACCATCGTTCAGGATGTTTTTCCGGCCACATTTCCTCCTTAAAGATGATGG